AGGAAGGAAGGAAGGAAGGAAGGAAGGAAGGAAGGAAGGAAGGAAGGAAGGAGAACGCAGAACAGAAGGGGAATCTTATGGGAAAGCAGCCCTCTACACCATCTGGGGAAGCAAAGGAGAGGCTATATCTGAGGATACAGCCCCGTCCAATTTGAGGGCTCCAAAGGGCAGGAAGTGGTCTAAAGAGGGATCCAGACCCCCAATGCGTTACCATGCCTTCAAAGTGGGACAGTGCCATGGCAGTGATAGGACCCTTTCTGCCCCCCAATATGCTCAGCAGTCCCAATTTGGGGGTCTCTTCCTAAACAAGGGTAATAATTTAGAGTTCCATGCTGCCGAGGTTGACTTTGCAGCCATAACCTCCCCGCCCCTCAATGCAGGTGAGGTAAGCTCCAGTATCATTTAAGGGACATCCCGTCCTTCTTTGGAGGAATAGTCACGTAAGATCAATCATAAGGAGGACGCATCCAGATGCATCTTTGTCCAAGGGAAGTAGCTTGCAAAAGACTTTGCCACCATCCCCGGTATTGGTTAAGGTGCCGGAAGACACTTCCTTGTCCCTCTTGCTGGTCTAAACCAGACCCTTCTATCTACTCCTAACCATTTGAAGGGGTAACCCCCCCCCCAAGAAAACTGAAGCCTTCTTTGGCCAGGAGAACTTGGCAGAAGTTGGGAGTTTGAGGTCCGCCATTCGCCTAGGAGCTCAGAAGAAGGTTTTGAGACCTCCCAGATCCACCCCTCCCACATTTGGCCATAGTGTCGCCCCCAACTCCTCTGGCCCCAAAATATGTTTTAAAAGCATACCTACATGTGCCAAAGGCTCACAAGTTATTATACTGGGAGACTTTTCAATGCACTCTTATCAGGAAGTCAGTTAATGGACTTCAGTTCCAGCGAACTGACTTAGAGTGGATAGAAACTTTTTGCAATCAACCCTCCCCCCCCCAAGTTTTGCGACACCCCTCCCCTAGGAATCCTACCGAGCTGAAAGGGCAAGCCGGCCTAGATCAAACCTTTGGACAATTGGGGCAGCAACCCTTTCTGCTTCTCCTGGGAGTCAGCCTCATCTCGGCCAATGGAGTTGATTTCTCTTACTTTTTAGTAGACCCATCTAGGGTTATGCGGCAAGGGGCCTTGTGGGCTGATCCCCAAAGGATGCTATTCAAGTGGCTTCTGGAGCCGGAAGCCCTATCGCTGGTTAGGAACCTCTTTCCTGAAACAAGCCGGCAGGAATATACCTTTTTAGCATGAAGCCCAGGTGCTCTGCGGGAGGAGGAGAAAGAAGAGCAGGAGACATTTACCAGCAATACAGAAAACACACCAACATCACTAGATAAGAAAAAAATGGAATACTGTATTTGATTTTTTTTAAGAAAGTTTGTACATAGAGATAGACACGCAGTAAAGGGAACAAGTGGCATAAGCATCCTACGTGAATTTAAGAAGAGACCCCAACAGCTGCTATTTAAATACTCAAAATGCTTTTGCATAAGAAAACTACAGTGGAACCCGAAGCCTCGTTTCTTCTATCACTGAGGTCCCTTTTGAAAACCCAGCCTGTCACCTCCTGACAGCTACGTTTGTGCAAGAAACCCAAGTCAGGGAAAACGTTGTTTCTTTTCTGTCTTTTTTTTAAGAAGGAAAGAGAAGGGAGGGGGAAGGGCGAGGGCAAGACAGGGGACACAAGAAGAGAAGAGCAAGTATCATATACAAGTATTTTCTACACATATATTACAAACTGGGAAAAATGACCTCATCATTAAGATATACATAATTCATATAAAATTTTGAAATAAAAATAAAAATCTGTTACAGTCATAACTATTCTTTTTCCACATTTATAACCAGTACCCACACAGGCAGTGACAGAAGTGTAGAAAAAAAGGTGCTTAGGAAGAAAATGATTGTCTGTTGAACAAAAGAATAACAATTTTAAAAAATAAAATAATAATTAAAAAAAAACCACGACGGAGGAGGAGGAGGAGAGAGGAAGAGAAGAAGGACAACCAATTGCATCTACTTTAAACCATCACTTGGATTGGGGGGTGGGGGGAGATCAGCAGAGATAAAGGCTGATTAAAACCCAACAAAAAGTGATAAACATTGGTAATTTCCCTCTTCAAAGAGTTCCTTTAAATTTTTCTAAAAGCTTTTCTCTCTCTTTTTGTACAAATTTGATCCGTGTTTTCCTTTCCCGCACCCTAGTCTTTATTATTATTGTGTTCATTTAGTATAGAGAATATTATAGTTTTCCCCAGATGCAAACTGAATCATTATCATGCAAAATGGGTGAAATGCAGTCCATGGGAAAGCGCAAACATTAAAATAAAATTTATAAAAATTAAAAAGAAAAGCGCTCAAATGTGCTTTTGTCCTACAAAGAATACAAATGTCACCTTTCTTTCTTTCTTTCTTTCTTTCTTTCTTTCTTTCTTTCTTTCTTTCTTTCTTTCCTTCCTTCCTTCTTTCTTTCTTTCTTTTTCTTTTCCCTTTTCCAGTAATAATATTCATAATAGCACAGTATTATCATAATTATTATTTCCCAGCTGCAGCATCAGAAATTCACAACGTTAATTTTGTTTTGTTCCTTTACCCAGTGGATTGTTTGTTTTATTTCTTCTGTTTGCTAAGTAAGGTTTGGTTTTATTTATTTTTAAATTCGTTTTTAAGTGTCTGCTTCTCTTTTTTCGGTTTTCTTTCTAGGGTTGTTCTGAGGTGCCTTTTTTTCTCTCGGGGAGCTGGGGCAGTTCGTCGAGGGAGTTGGGTGCGCGCTTGCTCGGGATGGGACGGCGGGGGCGTTACTTTGCCTTTTACTAGTTTTTGTTTTAATTATTATTATTGTTGTTTTCTTAGCTTTTGTTCCTTTCCATTATCATACATCACATTCTGAGTCGCTGGAGGTTACCGAGAGGATGGATGTCCCCGTCTCGGCTCTTTCTGTCAAACTGGAGACGCTGGTAGTGGGGCTGGCCGCCGTGGACGGAGACTCCGCCGAACTGTGAGTCGGGCAGCCCGGTTCTGACAACGACCGCATGCCGCTCTGTCCGATCGCCTGGTGCTGGAGCCTACAGGAGGCGGGGAGACAAACCAACAGGACAAAACCTTCGCTCAGAAGCACAGCCACAGAGAAAGAGGGAAGAGGAGGAGGCTGGCTCTCAGGCTGGCTCTCGGGCCGCGCAAAGGCGCAGCGCATTTCGGAACCAGTGGAATCCCAAGGCAGAGAAGCTGGGATCCGAGGCCGGCCCAAGCCTTCTCTCCACCGCCGTTTCTCTCCCTCCACCTCCCATCAAACAGGCAGCTTAGCCCGAACCCTGGCGTCTGCTCTGCCTCTCTCCTCCGCCCCCCCCTTCCTTTTCCGGTCAGACTTCCTCCCTCTCCGCTGCGACCTTAGCTCGCCAAAACCCTGAGCCGCCGTCTGCCGGCCTTGCCACTCCGGTTTCGAGCCGGGGTCGTCTCTCCCGCTATCCCCCCCCCCTCCACACACATGGCTGCCCTCTCCCTCTCCAAAAGGGTTCCGATCGGAAGAGAGAGAAAAACGCAAGCAAAGATCCCTCGCCGTTGGCTTCAACCTCGCCTGTGCGCGTAAAGTGGGGGAACACGAAAACACACACGCACGCACGCACACACGCGGGGGCAGTGAATTTGCATTGGCATCTCATTGACACACGTACGCACGCATATCCCTCTGCCAGTCACTCCCGCAGGCCAGTTTATTTGGAGACCGCGTCTCACTTTCCTCGGTTTCCCCGCCCGCTGGGGCAGAAAGGGAGACCCTTGGGCCTGCTGCTTTGAGAACCTTAAGTTCCTGCTCCTCGCACGGCACCCTTCCACCAGCGGGACAAACCCCCGTTTCGAACCACGAACCGCGTCCCAAAAGGACGGATGGTCGGCAGCGAAGGAGAAGCTCCTTCTCCCCCTCTCCCCCCCCCGGGGCTTCCCTGGAACGCCACCCAGAAGGAAAAACTGTAATGGGCGCAATGTAAACAAACAGGAAAACAAAGTGACGGGCCTGGCTGTTGGGGGGAGGGGAGGGAACATCTGCGAAGCGCTGGCGCGTTCAGCCTCTGCACAGCCGGGAGAGAAGAAACTCCCGCCGCTCCTCCCGGTTGCTTTTCTGAGAGGGTTGAGGGGACGGTTGAATGGCTCCCAACCGTCTTCGGAAGCCCCGCACCGCCAGACAAAGGAAGCCGGGCTGCCGCGGTTTGACCGAAGCCGGCGCGGAAGAGGGGATTCCGACTCATCAAAACTATCCGGCAACCGGCAGAGGCTTCTCAACGCGACCCCTTACTCTCCAACTCGGTGCAAACTGCCTTAAGAACCACTGAAGATTTGAGATGGGGTGGTGGGTGGCCGGGTGGGGTAGGGAATATGCATCGCGTCCTTCCCGAGAGAGGCCGCGAGGTTGTCTCTAATTTAGTAAAGGGGAAGATGACCGACCAAATCAAATAATGAAAATAAAAACGTCCGTGTTGAACCTTCAAATCCTTTTTAAGAAGGATCTGGGGATATTTTTAATTCTTCTTTTTTCACCCGGCCGTGAACTGTTTTTTAAAAATAGACCGCCTTGTCGTTTCCAGTATATTTGCTTCAGCGTTTATTACTGCTGCGACTGTTTCTGTTGTTATTATTCGATTACTTATTTTTTTTCCCCCTCTTCCCTTTTACCTATCTTTTACATTAATCTCGACCAGTCAACCCAAATATTCACAACTCTCATGTGGAGTGGGGTTAGATGCCTTCTCTGTCCCAAATGCAACTGAAAAATAGTTGTACGGCAGTATTTCACTTTCTTTATTTCCCTGCCTCGGAATTTGGAACGAAGTTTAACCATATAAACAAAACACAGAATTAGAAAAAAAAGTCAAGTTGGTTTTTTTTTAAGGAAGGATTTTCTCTCCTTACATTATTTCATGCAACTTACACCTTTTAAATTATTTTATTAAAATAATTGAAGCCTCCTTAATCAATAACCAAGCCAAAAAAAAAAACCCCACAACCCTCGAATCATATAATAACCTAATAAAGTTCTAACATCTAATTGCCTACAAAGCCGCCCTATATATTTATTTACACACTCATAAACACGCTGCAGTCAAGCTATCTGGACCCAAAACAACCTGCCTATATGTGGGGAAGAAAAACAAGTTTGAAAACTATTTTAGATGCTTTCCTTTTTATTTTATTTTTATTTTTATTGGTACAGTCCTATCTTTTGCTCTCTGCTCCCTCCCGTTCTTATTTTTGACGGCATTAATGAGAACAAAAGAAGAGCGGCGGCCCTTTTTTTCCTTTCAGAAGCTCCCTCTCCGAGAAGGGGACGTCTTTCTCTGTCTACTCGGAAGTAAGAGGCAGTGGGATCCGGAGACCTTGCTCCCAGAGTCCCACCGCAGCGCTGAAAACTGGGCCGGCGGGGAGAGAACGGGAAAAGTCCTAGACCCAGATCAATAAAGGGCAGGCGCTTTCCTGCTGCAGGCAGCTCGGAGGTAGCTGTTGTTTAGCTGTTACTCGCATTGGCCGTTTGCCAACCCCGCCACAAAAGAGAGAAATGCGCCTCCAACACAGGCAAGGAAAATCCGAATGAAATGGGAAGAGCGGCCCTTTCCTTTATACCGGGCCAACTGAGCCGGGGAGAAAGAGGCTTCCCCTCCAGCCCCCGGCTTTGATACGACTCTGCCGTCCCTAGTTAAAACTGGTGGCGAGAATTACGCACCCGCCGGTAAGGCAAGAAGACACGCTCTCTCTCTCTCTCTCACACACACACACACAATCACACAGACACATACACATAGAGACACATAAACATAGAGAAGACGCGGATCTATTTTTTCGGGGAGAAAGGGCATCGGGGTTGAAAGCAGGGGGAGAACAGGCTCAAGGAAGACTCCGGGACTTTGGAATCGGCTCCCAGGCGAAACCCCTTCGGGCCTAAACTGAACCTGGCCTTGGACCTCCAGTCCCGGCCGATGAGAAAGAGGCAAAAGAAGACCAAGGCTGCACCGCGCCCGTTTCGGACTTGAAAAAGCAACCGGCCTTCTCTTTGAGAGGTCGCGGCGGACGCTAGTCTCTCTTTCGGCCAGTTTTCTTAAGGGCCTCCGTCTCCTTCTCCGGCCCGAAGTAACGGGGGGAGGGATGCAAGGTGTGTGCGCGAGCTGTCGGGGTATGCATTCTCCCTCCACCCCCATCACCCAGTCCCCGAGAGCTGGGGCAGCCCCACTGACCTGTTCTTGGCGGCCGCCGCCCGGTCTCTCTGCCGCCGGTTCTTGAACCAGTTGCCGACCTGCGTGGGCGTCAGGCCGGTGGCCTGGGCCAGTTCCCTTTTCTTGCTGGGGTTGGGGTAGGGGTCCTGGAGGTACCATTCCCGCAGGAGGCTGCGAGTCCGTTCCTTGAAGCAGTGGGTCTTCTGCTCGCCGTCCCAGATGGTTCGCGGCAGGGGAAACTTCTTGCGGACGCGATACTTGTCGACCGGCCCCAAGGGGCGTCCGCGCAGCTTCTCGGCTTCCTGGTAGTGAGCCTCCAGCCACATGGCCTGCAGCTTGCCGTGCGATTCCTTGGTGAACTTGTGGTTCTCCAGGATGTGATAAAGGTCTCGGAAGTTGCCCGTGTGGAAGGCCACCACCGCTCGGGCCCGCAGGATGGACTCGTGCTTGTTAATGGCTTCACATGCTCCGGGCGCTACCGGCAAGGACCACAAGAACCGGCCCAGCCTCTCGATGTCCCCCGTCTCCTCCAGTGTCTCGCAGACACTGGCCACTTGCTCCGGGGAGAAGTTGAGCGTAGGCAGCTGGAACATGGACGGCTCTTCCGGGGCTCCCCGCGAGGCGCCTCCTCCTCCTCCCCCGCCGCCGCCACCGCCACCGGCCGCTCCGGCGCTGCACCCGGTGGCGGCGCCGCCGCTGCCACCGCCGCCGCCTCCAGCTCCGGAGCTGCTGCTGCTGCCACCAGTGGCCAGAAGAAGCGAGCGGTGGTGGTGGTGCGGGTCGCTGGGGAAGTTTGGCAGAAAGAAATGGGTGGGATAAAGCTCTAAAGGGGATCGGAACACCATGGGACCCAGCCTGGAGGACGGGGGAGGGGCTCGAAAGACAGAGAGCGGGCGAGGCAGAGAGGGAAGGAAGGAAGGAAGGAAGGAGAGGAGGACGAGAGAAAGGAATCGGGATCAAGGCGAAAAGAAAGGACGGCAAGAGGCAGACGGAGGAAATGAAAAAGAGGAGAAAGAGGGGAGGGAAAGGGGGCTCACGCACCCCACGCGCATCCACACCCGCATAGAGACCCTCATCCGAACCCAGACATGCACACACACGTATACTCACACTCCCCCCGCGCGCACACACTCACTCCCACCCACCACCTTTCACACGCACGCAGGACACTCGCACTCACACACCCTCACCCACGTACAGGCGGGCATCTGCGCACCGGCTTGCTCGCTCAGACACCCACAGGCACACGAACTACACACGCACACACGCACACACCTCCAGAGCCAGAGCGGCTGCCGCCGCCGCCGCGGCGAAAACAGATTCAGTGATTCGGCCGCGATCGCCCTAATGACAACAGCCTCATAATATCTCTCCTAAATCCACCGTGAGTGCAGCGCCGAAGCATTTTGTTTCGCTTTTCTATTGGCCTGGCGGGTGTCGTTTGGCGTCGCCATAGCAGCGCCCTGCCAATCACTGTCAGCCTTGCCAATCATCGGGGACTACGTAAGAGAAAGGGCTCTTACCGCTGCGCCCAAAGGCGGGGAGGAGGGGAGTCGGAAAGCAGAGGGAGGGACGGACGAGGAGGAGGAGGAGGAAGGCGAAGGGAGGAAAGCTTGGGCGCATTGGTGTGTTAATCTTGGCAAGTCCTAATCTGAGCACTTCCACTTCTCTCGAGGCGTCTCCCCCTTTCCACTGGCAGGTCTCCCCCCCCCCCACCAACCGCCTCCCCCACTTCCCTAAATAAATAAGGCAATAAAATGTACAAGGGCAGGCGCTGCTACTTCTCTGAAATCAGATCCAGGATTAGACTCCGAAGCTGACCGCGGCTTTTAAGGGAGCCCCTTCCCCTCGTTGGGAAGAGAGGAAAAAGGAAGGAAAGGGGATGGGGGATGGGGAAGGAGAAGGAGACGATCGGGGCCAAGTGGGGATAAAAGGACTCCGAAGGGAAACGATTTACACATGATTTGCACGTAGTTGCCCTTCATTCTGCCTATCTGAGCACTAATAGCGCTGGGGAAGAAAAGCTAGATGAGATCATTAGGCCCATCCTCAGGCCGCTGACCCCGCCGGGAGCAAACCCAAGATGGGGGGTGGGGGTGGAGATGGGGTGGGGGTGGGCGGTTGCGAGGCTCGAAGCGAAGAGCGGGAGCTTCCTATCTTTTCTTTCCCTCTTTTGCTCCCCCACCCCACCCCTGGGCTGGGATTTACAGAGATAACTTCCAAGAGAAACTTTATCCCAAGTCTGGGCTTTGGGGCTCTCGAAGCAGAAAGCGCTTCTCCCAGGCAAGCCTGGTTTGGAAATGCCGGAGCAAAATCGGTGAGGAGGAAAGGCCCCGATTCCTGGAGGCCGGACCGGGCGGGGTTCGTGGGCCAAGCCCCCCACCCCGTTTACGAGGCAGAACTTGACTGAACGGCCAACCTGCCCAAATTGGCCTCCAGAAGCGCCGAGCCTCTTTGTATGGTTTGGGTCAACTTCTATTTGGGAACAGCCCAGAAATTGTATCTCTGTAGAGCAAGAAATACTCCCCGGTAAAAACCTAAGGCGGAGAGGGGCTGGTTGCTGGATGGCGCCTTCGAAGTCTAGCTTTGATTTCCCTGCTGCTTATTTTGCATCCCTTTCTAGCTCTGTTCTCGCAAACTCCCTTCTTGGCTGTTTTGTAAACTCACAGAATGTTGTCTAGGCGTTTTACACCCGGCCGAGCAACTACGCATCTCAACCATTACTTTAGATTTCGAGTTCCCTTTAGTTCTCAGTATTGTTTAAAAAAACAAAACAAAACAAAAAAAACAGAAGACTAATAAAGAGTAAAGAGTAGTAAAATGCTTCGTAAAATATTTGTTTAAAAATCTTCATATTATCTGTGCATGTTGTATGTGCGTGTGTATCGCGCGCAATGCATATAATATATATATATAGAAGGTGAAACCAAATTGCTGAACTCTTGACATTCCCAACAGCTAAGCCGGCCTTCTGTGGTTGCCGTCCGCCTCCATTTATCCTTAGGTGCGTTGCTTTTAAGGCGATTTTAATCGGCATCTTGAGCTGGTAACTCCTTTGTTTCGTTTCGGCGGCGATGGAAGTGTGATTTACAGAGATTTGTACGGGTCATGGATGTCTTTCCATCCTTACTGTGTATATTTAGACAGGACTTTGGTTGGTGTTAAAAAGTGTATATTTTGAATGGGTTCACACACAGTAGCAAACAATAGGGACATTGTCCAGGCATGTAGAACGCGTATTGAAACGCAGCATCCAGACTTCTCCTAATCTGCCCTCAATAAAGCTGAAATAATTATCCTAAGCCGCCTTTCTAGAAGTAGGGGAAAAAATCATGGAGGAATTCAAAACTTGAAGAAGAAAAAACAACCCAACAACTTTGCTCTGCATTCCGATGCAGATCTAGAAGGGCGACAGGGAAGAGGAGGGGGGGGGGTGAGACCGACCAGCAGTCCAAACTCCTTGCAGTCATCAATAGGGTGGCAGGAGGGGGAGGGAAGAAGTTTTGTACAATTAAAATGGGAAAACCTCGCGTGACTTGGCCTATTTGAAAGATACATAATCATCATAATTCGAAATGCTGCCGAGGAGAGAGAGGGGGGGGAGAAAGGGGGAGAGAGAGAAAGAGAGAGGGGGGGAGGGAGAGAGAGGGAGAGAAAATGAGAAAGGGGGAGGTGGGGGCCTTAGCCGGACACCCAAACTGGCTGGGATCTTTTCACCGAGCAGCTTCTCTGAAATAAATGCCAAGTGGCAGATGAATAAGTCCAGTTGGGAGAGCTATTGGACTGGAAGATCCTGCTGACTGGATTAGGCGTTCATCACTCTTCCACCAACCTGTCAACAGGGGTTCATATTCCCAAGGAAAACAGCCCTTAAGTTTTACTGATGTGCTTTAACACTTCTGTTAACAAACTAGACCGGCGGCGGGTCGGGAAGGGGCGGGTGGCGCTTGATACCTTCTCACCCAGCCCTCTTGTCCCTGTCCCGGTGTCATGTTTCCATTTAAACGCAGAACAGAGAGATTTTGTCGAGTTATGAACAGCAGGGATTGTCCACCCAAGTGTTTTAGCCAAAGGTTGGGAAGTGGGAGCAAACTTTCTGTTTCGCCTAGGGCAAAAGGATGAACAATACAGCTCTGGGGAAAGAGGACACCTGCCTCGGTCGGTACCTTAATGTTTCAGTCGGCTTATTTGAAGGATGCGCGCGTGTGGTTTAGTGTGTGTGTGTGCGTGTGCGTGTTTGTGTGTGTGTGTTCATACACACCTTGTCAGTTACAAGAAGCTTCTGAGAAAAAGTCAGTCTCCAGGCGGCATCCCTACTCTCTGCGCAAGGGCCTCGGGAATTGCACTGACGTTGTGGATCCTCCGTAGAGCGCGTTGGCCCCGGCTCAGTTCTGACCTCTTCCGAAATTCAGAATTTTTTTAAAAAAACTGTTCTTCCATGTAAAGGAGGTGGGGGGGGGGGAGAGGAGATTCCAGGCCCTGAGATCTAAACGAGGTTTGCCGAATTGCGAGCACTTTTTCAACAGCATCTGCGTGAGTTTGACTTGGGCTTCATGGACAGGGGGGACACAAAAGTGACAGGCACCCCTATAAGCAACAAAGAAGAAGGCGGAAGCGTTTCAAATACAGGGACAAATGGCACGCGAAGTTGGGCTTATTACTCTTTTCTGCAGCGGCATCTCCTCGCTCTCCTTGGTCGAAAGATGCTACCAAATCTGGCTTTTCTGTCTCCCTCACCCATCCCACCAAGAAGGCTTGGCCCACCCCCACATCCACCCTTCCAGTCCGGTCGTATCGCAGTAAATGGGCAGCACCAGGCTTGCTTAGCGCCGCCACAGCCTGACCTGAGCGATTCCGAGCTTAAAACAGGCTGCAAGGGTCAATTTTTAACGCACCTGCCCATCCCCGAAGCCGCACACCTTTTTTTTTTCAGCTTGGCCGCTTGACCCCTCCGTCTCCCAAAGGGCCGCCGGGTGATTTTGAACATATTTCTGGGATGCCAGGCCTCTTAGGCACAGTCCGGGGGGAAACCAAAGACAACCTTTAGGCATTGTTGTGCCGAGGAGAAAAGTTTGGGGTTGCCTAGCGGTACGGCGATGCTCTCCATCTCCCCCCTAAGCCTGTTAGGGACACATTCTCATGTCCTTAAAGTACAAGCAGATAATTGTTGGCGCTCCATCTTTGTGCGAAGGAGGCCAGGGTGTAAATGCCTTTTAATGACTGCAGCTGCTGGCTGAAAACTGTCAATGGAATTGGCTAATGCAGAGCCCCCGGAAAGGGGGGAAAAAGAGGGGGAAAACGCTTTTGGGAGCGAACTGCTGAGCGCCGCTGGAACCGAAAGGGAGCTGGAAAGGGCGAGGAAGACACTGGCAGACGACAAACAGGAGGAGGAAGAGGAGACGAAGAAGGAGAAGAGGAGGAGGAAGATCTAGTTGAAGGAGAGAGCGAGAGAGAGAGAGAGAGAGACAGAGAGAGAGAGAGAGAGAGAGAGAGACAGAGAGAGAGAG